TGAGCAATGCTGGCGAAGGTGCTGAAGTTTTATCGGAAGCAATGTCGGTCTTTGAAATGCAACTTTAGATTGCCATTCTTAAATTCATACGAAATGTCGAAGTAAGAATCATTAAAATTTAAAGTAAATACTTGAATAGAATCCTTGTCAGCGAAATAATATGCAAGCGTTTCTATGGCTAGTGGTACTGAAAGCACAGTAATTAAAGTTGCTGTGTAGCATGCACACAGTGCTCAATGATTTTACATCCAGAGATGTTCAGAGTTGGTAGATGCAAGAAAACGAGCCGAGCGTACGAAGTGCTTTGGCCAACACGCTACATGAAGTCTGGCCATTCGTGTAGGAAATCCCAGCACCGATTTTCTTCCAATCTCGGCGTTGATCAATAATTCACTGCCTTTCTTAATGAGTTCCAAAATTCCAAGAATTCAAAAACGAACCGCAAGGAGGAGTGCCTTGTGATCACACGTGACTATCCAGGCATTCCCGCCCATGTAGTGCTCTGTACTTCTGGTCTCCACTGGTTAACTGGAACACCTACAACGCATAAAACGCTAGAGTAGTCTGACAAATAATCAATGGCGACTGCACTAGTTTCTATGGGTAATTGTTTCATCAACGCCTGCAGCGCTGTGGCAAGAGGTGTTCTGCAACATACATAGAATCGATCCCTTGCACCAAACTTACCAAGCCTTCCATCCTTCCGGGAGGCACTGACTCGATATATCGGTAGGTTACCGCGAATCAATAGGGCAGATATGCATTCAATGACATCCACCGATACTTAATAAGGAGAATGCACGGTGAATCTCTTAGGAATTAATCAACGCAGAGAGCTCTATCCGTTTTATTTATTAATTGTTTGGTCAGCAGGTTTTGATGGTCGAAACTTTAATAAATTGCTTAGCCACCAATGTACTGCACTACACCTACTTTATTCCTGATCACAGAATGGAGATGTTTGTTCAAGACGGCTTTATTTTATAAGTCATCAATAATTCCATAAAGGAAAAATCTCTGGACGTTGATCCATGAAGGATGGGCCTTGAATCTGTTCCAACAGATTGGACCTGGCCCATGAAATGATTTGTGATTACTTACTGATCTGTTAAGTCATTGTCTTTATTCTCCAAAAAAGGTCTAGTACCAATAAAGCCTGGTCTAGTAGGAATTTATCGACCCCAGAAAGATGGAAGGCTTGTCTAGATTGGGGTGCGAAATCAATCCCATGTGTGTCGCAAGGCATCTCTGACCACTGCAGTGCAGGCACGCTTCGGTGAAACATAGATATTGTAAACAAATCGTAAAGATAAAACGCACCAAGCAGAAAGCCGGTACCAATATACATCTTTGGATGGTATCTACAGGTTCCATTTAAATATTGGAGATCTTATACACATTACAGTTTCAAATTACTTGCCATTGTGACTGTGCAATAGTAGAGGAAAGGAAGAGATATCGTACTGGTGGTCGTATCAAAGCGAATATCAGTATTGGGCGAGGGAATGTCGAGTATCCATTTCAGTTGGCCTTTTCATAACCTTGTTAGTTTGCTTCATCGTCGGACGTCAGGAACGGTACTATTCTACTATTTTATCATATATTTACACCTATCTACTTTACCCAGTAGCTCAACAGTACTATAAAGCAAGTCTATAATTCTATCTTATAATCTTTAAGTAGTTATTTGGTCAGTTTAGTTTTTCATGCAGGTGGTTTTTCTCCCCATTGTTTGCAATCCTTCGAGTTGATATCTCATCTGAGCCGAGATCAGGTGCACATTGGTGTATTGGTGCATGAATTGTGTTCATACAACTATAGTTCTGTATGATTTTCCGTATCCGACACTTCAGGAAATAAAGTAGGGTTTGATCGTTGTGGTTACTGACAAGTTGCTGAGTTTGAATCTTGTAAATTGAGGTATTTTAGATCACACAAGCAAGAACAGCCAATCCCAGCCCGTCTAACACTTCATTACCCTTGTCCAATAGAAAAAACTAGGTTTCAAAAGGTTAGAAAAATCTTAGGTGACCTATATTTGTGTAAAGTCAACGAGTAATAATTTGTACTAGGTGACTGTTTGTTTTTAAAGGAGTCCAAGTTGCCAACGATATGTGCTGCCCTACACATGACTCCGGTGACGCTCTAACAACAAATAACAATCAGGTCTGCTTTAGTAAATTAATTATTGTCATTCTTACTGAAAGGTAACATCGCATAAGTGGTTGTTAGGCTAGTTTTCAATAAATAATGCGGTTTGGTTATAGACTTAAAATAAGTGGGAGTTGTAGCTACGTATCATCATCGTTGGTATAAATAAGCTCTACACTTGCCTCCTCGTCACTACTACAGTGGTATGCAGTGAAATCTGCAAGGGAATCCTCTGCAAAATTCAGATCACCTGTATAACCTGTAGTCCCGTTGATCGTCGAGTGACTCGAGCGGGCGCCAGTAAATCTTCCATTTTTCCCTGTCGCGTGCAAGAGTAGCCCAGTGGGTTCTGGTCGCTCTAGCGACTCGTCGAGCATCATTTCTTTCTTCAAGGCTCTTTGTGAAAAACTCTAACCATCGGGTCGGTGGTCTTCCTGCAGTACGTTAGACATCCCGAGGAATCTAGTCACTAACGGCTCCTGTCCACCGCTTCTCATTCATACGAATTATGTTTCCGGCCCACCTTATCTTCGACTATTTGGCGTACAGAACGGCATCTTTGATTTTTGATCGTTAACGCAGATCGGAGGCTCGGATCCCATCCATTACTTGCGTGGAACGGAACACTCCTAGCATCGTCCTTTCGACTGCACGTTCGATAACGTTGAGTGACCTTTCATCCTGCTTAGGCAGAGGCTAGGTTTCCGACGCATACGTTAGGGCAGGAAGTACCGTTGAGTCGAAAAGGTGGGCACGGAGTCAGGTGTTCTTTGTCATCTTCACTACATCTTCGATGCTCTCGAAAGCTCCCCAAGCCGCTCGTTTCCTTATGCTCAGCTCTGGAGCTAAGCCATTCATCATATTGATTTCCCGACATAGATAGATATAACTGGAGCATTCGGAGATTTCCGTTCCGTTGAGCGTGGATGGGACATGTGAAGCCAATCCGTTTCTCATGAACATCGTTTTGTGAGATTTAGTTGAAGACCAATCTTTCCACAGGCTTTACCAAAGTCGTTAAGCATGCGTACCGCTTAGCTAATGTTTGGTGTTATAAGGACGATATCATCAGCAAAGCGAAGATGGTGTAACTGCCGACCATCGATTTTCACTCCTGTATTGTCCCATTCTAGTGTTCGCATGACGTTCTGGTGGGTGACTGTAAATAATTTTGGCGAGATGGTATCGCCTTGCCTAGTTCCTCTTTTAACGTCAATGTTAATAGTATCGTTGTAGAATGGTGATATCTTGATTGTGAAATTTTTGTACAGCTCACGAAGAGTCTTTATGTACTGAGTAGGGACTCCTTTACTATCAAGGGTTTCCATAACTGCTTCTAGCTCAATTGAATCAAAGGTCTTCTTTAAATCGTTGGAAGTGAGACAGAGCGGTGTTTTGTACTCTCGCGATACTTCAATGAGCCGTGCTACCGTGTGGATGTAATCCATCGTACTAAATCCTTTTCGAAACCCTGCTTGCTCACATGGCTGTTCTTTGTCTAGTGCTCTGTCAACCCTGTTTAGGATGACTCGAGTTAAAAGTTTGTAGACGATAGACAGTAAGCAGATTGGGCGATAGTTGCCGATATCGTGTAGGTCACCCTTCTTAACAATAACACGGTCCTCCTGGTCTTCCACAGAGTAGGAACCTTGCATTCAGACAGGTAACGCGTGAAGAGCCGAGCCAGTGCGTTTACGAGAACTGGCGAAAGGTTCTTCAGGTGTTCTGGTCTTATGCTATCCGGACCTGGGGCTGTTCGATTTTTCGCCGACGAAATGGCATGTCGGATTTCGGAAAGGAGAACCGGTGGTGCAATATATCCATCGTGCTTTGTTTCATATGACGGAAGGTGGACGTGGCTAACGAAGAGATTCGAGTAGTATTCGTGAATGGTTTTTTTCTTCGACTTTCTGGATGCTGTAACTGTTCCGTCTGGGCGTAGGAGTGCAATCATCTTGGTCTTGTAATTGGAGAAACTTCGGTGGGCTTTGCGAATGCTTTTCGCAGCCTCTGCAGCTTGTACCTTTGCTGCTACTCTTCTCCCATTTGCTGCTACTCTTCTCCCTTTAAGATCTTGTTTTATCGCCTGTCTGCATTGTTTTGCAAGTTCGGACGTTAGTTCGCGGTTGCCTACAGCTCGTGCGATTCCAGCTGGCGTATCAGCTAGGGTTTTTCGGCAGACAAAACGTCTCTTGGTGACTTTCGAACTCTCACCTTTCATAGCGCTAACGCGAAGATGTTGAATGAGCCGATCGTATTCTTCGTCGATTTTGTCGACAACGGAATCTTTCCAACAGCCGACTAATGAATTGAATAAGTCGCTGGTTACGGTGATTCTGGGACCTCGGATTTGAATTTAGCGGCTTTTTCTCCTTTCCGCGAGAAATAGAATCTTGCACGAATTCTGATTTCGATTTCGTGTAGAATTTTGAGACAACAGCGACATCGACAGCGATATCGGTTAGGCAAAACCTTCTATTTACTATGTTGTGGTCTATTTCGTTATGGAACTCTCCATTGGGAGACTCCCACGTCCAGCGTTGAGGTTGGGGCTTCTGGAATTGTGAGTTACCATTAGGTGGTTTTGGTCGCCATAATAAACTCGGATGGCCGCTCACCCTGTTCGTTCCATTCCAATCCGTGGCTCCCATTGTGACGTTCTTCAGGCGTTTTTCTCGATCCAACTTGGCAGTGATGTCTCCAATGATGACCTTGAAGAATGTGTGGTCTTCTCCGCAGGATTTCTCCAAGTCCACGCAGAATTCTTTCACTTTTTCTTCGTCATAGTTTGATATCGGCGCGTAAACGACGAAGATTGTCAAAATCGGTATTGTTCCACATCTTTTTGATCATAAACGTCCGATTCGGGTTGTAAGTTGTTCGAATGAATCAATTTTCATGGACAAACTCGTGTTGACAAAAACGCCGACGCCGCCGACTCCTCTACTGTCGCATGTTCCAAGGAATAGTTCTTCTCCGGTGTCATAGACGGCGTTGAAAGGCTGACGTTTTCTCGTCTCGGCCAGGCCGATGACGCGGTACCTTATCCTTCCTGCTTGCATGAGCAAGTCTTCTATCGAGAACTCGGATGCAAGTGTACGTGCATTGTAGGTACAGATCGTCACCATAGTTCTTTGAAATCCAGGCAGCTTCCACTGGCGCTAAGACTTTAGCGGCCTCTCCGTACTCGTCCTACCCAACGCTGCGAAATTGGGAGCTCTTTCGGGGTCAGGGAAATAAGGCCCGTTTGTTTTTTTTGCTGTGCTTAGCACTTTTGACACCTACGTATAGCTTGCTGGGCTGTGAACGTGTGGCCTGGGTATCCTCACGGGTACCTTGCCAGGCTCTCTCAGAGTGCACGTGGAGCTGGAGGTGACTCCTAACAGCCTCCCATATACTTCCTCCAGCTATTGATTGCAGGCTCTTGGCCGAATTGACTCGTAGAATACAATCCGCATAGGCGAAAACACACCCACGCACGCGTGCAAGAATACGTCTTGGTAAGTACAGAAAGTGTGTGCCAAATCAGGGCAGCAGAAACAGGGAGTCCTTCTCCTGAATCCACTTGTGTCTCATGGAAGCAAACGTCGCTTTTGGTACGCGATTAAGCCATATGCTCCACCTGGGAACGCGCCACGTAGCCTCGCGGGTAACCGGCTCGAGATCCCTCGTATAAGGAAGATCCGTGGAAAATTCAAATATGTTAGAAAAATTTGAATATGTTGGAAAAATTCTGCTTCTCAGAAGAGACGGAAGCATTCTGAAAAGCGCAAAGAGAAACTGGTGGAAGCAGGAAAAGTAAGAGGCTGGGTCTTTCCATGATTGGTAAATCATGTTACAATGCGGTCTAACACATTTTCAGAATTTTGGAAACAGATCGGTGTCATTATTCCAGTCTGGTTCGCCGTTATTTGATGAGTTGTAAAAAAGGGTAAGCATAGCTAATTTACTTTTTGTGTCACCAACCTGTTTGCTGGCTTTTTGTATAAAATCTTTTATTGACTATTATTATTAAAGTGCGCACTGGTAAAGTACCAGTCAATGGCGTAATGGACGTGGGATTCTCTCGAGCATCAAATCTGGCAAAGTCGCAGTCAAATGCTTCTGTTTGTTAGACGATTTTGCATTGACTTATTGAAAACAGTGTCGAACGTGAGACAATATTTAGCGCTCCTTAGCGTCAAATTCCACAGGTCACGGAGCTTCCGACCGTTAGTATGTTTGCACAATTTTACAAAGCAGATCATAGTTATTTATGCACTCCCATTGTTAAGAAGCGGGATGGATTATTTTGCGCGCTAAAATAGTCCTATTTTTTTCCAGGAGTTTCCTTGTCAGCTTTGTAAATAAGTTCAACTTCTTGCACACTTATTTGAATTTTGCACCAGTTTGCTCCATTGAGCATTAGCGAATGGTGCGATGCTCCGCAAGATGTATAATAACTGTAAAGTTATTTGACTATACTGACTGTGGTTGGAATTATGTACACACTTATTATGGATGAATATCTCTGATCGCAGAACAATCTTCTTTGGGCTTTTAATCGTGGTAATTATGCTTGGCGCATTGATTTATGTGTCCATACGAAATTTCGAACACTTAGAATCTTGGCAATATTCGCATGACTGGGACTAGTTTGGAACGAAGTCTTTCATCCTGACTCAGGACCGAATTCGATGATGCAGCGTCTAGATATGTCCTACATGATAATGGAGGCGCTTCGGAATCTTTTTTTGATTCGACAAAGCAATGACTCCGCAGAAATGCAAGGAATTTTCTACGATCTGTTCGTATGGCTTTTTTTCTGTGTGGGTCTATTCTTTAGTAACGTTTCATGGCCAGTTTCACGGCCTATCCAGAATTCCTTAATTTTCCGGATTTTTGTGATTATGTTGTGCAGTAGTTAGTGCCGCTATATTATGCACCTGGTCGAGGACCACTTTTCGTGCCATGGTCTAGCAAAACGCGCCATAAAGCGGCAAACCAGACGGAGAGGATAGAGGATACTGACTTTATATCACTGGAAACCCTTCAGTATGTATTTCATTTTACGGTCCTGAAGGCAGTGGAATGCAGAGGATGCCATCGAGAGATAAGTCAACACTAAGCACGTTATTCTTATACCTTTTGTGTCTTTGTTAATTCACGGCTATAAAAGCACATATCCGATTTGGATACATTGTGTTGTTTCGTAAAGCATGATATTGGGAATTTCCTTATTTTTTAGACCGTGTTTTCTTGGATTTGGAACACTGCTAAAATAATATCAAGTTTTTTCCTTGGCGCGATGTAGTTCTGGAAACCTAACTAGGACAAAGATTTCCACCATTTCCCATCTTTTACAGTGATTCGTTAGTCAATAGTTTTTTTTTTGATTACACCATAGATGAGAGAGCAAAGACCGCAGTGGCATTGATGACTGTCATCACGAGTACGATACTAGATCAACTTCGCTCTGGGCTCACCAAGCCTTCCACCCCTCCGCGATCGAGAAAACAGTGTCAGACTTCTCCGGTAAACGTTCACTTTCTGCAATTCAAGTGTAAGCACTCTAGCACGGATATCTCAGTGTAGTAGTTGGCCAGTGAATCATATGCCTTCGAGTCTTCGACACCGAATAATTACTACCTCACAGTAGAATGCTCGACTTTATACGATTTTGCCACGTGGGCTTTTGACATAACCACAAAGAACAATCTCAAACTTAGTTGTGGTTTTTTATAACAATGGTAACGATACAATATCAGCAATCTAATGATATCTTGTTGTGCAAATGAATACACAGGCGAAACAGTTGAGCGAAGTCAGACGAAACACTGGAACACTCACTAGATGGCTAATAATGCACCTTGTACTGCTTCTGTAATGGACGAAGTTTTGACAGAAGAAACTAAAGATAAAAGGAAGATTCTAGAATATTTCTCAGTTAGTACAATCTGATAGAGCTGCTTAAGATCATGACATCACACATGCGCAAAAGTATATCGGATACGACGGTATACAAAAAGTTCAAAGTTCATTAGATAACGATTCAAAAACATATACAGATAGCGAACGAATAGCTCGTAGTATTATGCATGGCAATGAAGAAAATAGAAACTATTCAGATAAAAGTTATTCTACTCAGTGCCTCGGAGAGAATCGACTCGGCCAGCGTTCTATGACATTCAAGATGAAATGGAAACCCTCCAACAGCAGCCAGAAGCCACACGTAAAAAGTTGGAAGAACTTCGTGGATGACGGAGGCAAATAGAATGTGAGAAGTGCTGAGATCCGCACAGTAAACGTGAAGCTGAGTTATCTAAAGGGAAAACTTCACATTATTGATACATTTGTCTCCAACTTAGCGATCTACAGAATACAAATCGATCATCTCCTTCGGTGAATGTTAGGCTGCTTTGCAATAAATTCTATTATCAGTTATATCATGGATTTTATCGTCTTGTCTAGATATCCAATGAATGGTTTCTCTGTATCGTACCCCATGCTCTCAATCGCCTTGCGGCGAAGTTCCATTTTCTTATCGTAGTTACCCTTTTCTCCTTTTTTTGCTTCTTGTTCTTCCTCAACATCGAAGTAGAGCGAGAGCTTTATCCTACCAATAGTTACGTCGCTCGAACTGGAAAGCAGGTCGGTGTTTTTCTCATGAATTCCTTAGGAAGAGTACAACTACGCTGTTATGGAGTCACTGAGCTCCCGATGGCTACACTTCTGCAAAGAAAAATTGGGAGTGGAAAAAAAATGGAAAAAATGAGTAAAACGGCAATGCCGTCATACTAAAATGCCCTATGAACATTATGTCCGTGAAGTGAACGGAGCTCGATGAACATCTCTGAGTGCAGTGGAAACAAGTAGTAGGATATACTGACGGTTGCATAAGTTGCTCAACGTTGAATGGATCCACGGATCACACAAACGATTTAGTACATGGAAATTACCACTTTCTCTTGCCTCTCACTTAGAATTGAAAGCTCCTATGTCAAACTAGCAAACAACTATCGCTTCATTTTGGAGCATCTTTACTGGTCGACATTCCAAATCATATGGAGTTCCGCTCGATTTCAATCAGGATTCGGTAAGGCTCTAAAGTTTTACTTCGTATTTTTGTTGAGCAAACGTTTATCTAAAGTATCTATATATGTATATGTATATGTATAGTATCTAAAGTTTTATTTGAAAGCTCTTGGCGTTGATCAATCTGTGAGGGATGCGCCATGCATTCGACTTTATTAAGCACCGTTTGGAGGAAATTGAATGCATATCTGGCCTTTAAAATGACTCGCGGTGGCCTACCGATGTGTCAAGCCTGTGCTGCTAACCTCCCAGTCAAGTCTGGTACCAATTTGCCGATCCCGGTTGGAAGGAAAGCTCGGTGGGCAATGGGCGCAGAGATCGATTCCACGCGCGTGTTGCAAGGCGCCTCCGACCACTTCGACACACATGCCCCATGGAATTCGGTACCACTGGCATAACTAGTTGGATAAGGTTTTTTTTCTATCTTCTATACGGCTGCATGGATATATCCGCTAACTCATGAGTTTCCAGCTTTTCATCAGGTATAATGGCCTACTGATGTTGGTGAAATGGATATAGAAGTGAGGTGTTGCTGTTAGCTTCCAATCCATCACTACCCGTACATTTCTCACTAACATTATTCTTCTACCATATTTAACCATAATTCAACCAAAATCTACATTAACGTAGAGACTATATTCAACTGTACTTACTCCAGACGGTCATTAGGTCTTCGACCTCATCGTGATGTATTATCGAGCAGGCATAAAACTATGTACCGGCGAGACAATCTTGTGCTGGGTAGATGCACTTCACGTATCCGGTGTCTACACTGCATCACTCACTGCATCTACAGTACCGTCGCGAATTTCAACTGGTAAACTAGCTGGCAACAGTTTACCAAGCACACCAGTTGGAATGAAAGCACGCGAGAGAGCCTGTAACACAGAATCACACAGTCCGATGCTCTACTCTGTGAACGGAATGTATTGATAGTTAACACTTCGTTATACTCAGCTTAACTTCAACCCATTATCAGTTTATTTCTTTGGAGTACGCTCTTTCTAGTAGAATACATTTTACAGACCTCTCCAACCTGCTTCTCATTCTCTTC